AAAATTAAGTTTACTCTAAGTCAGTGCCTACTCAATAAACATAGATGATTCAGGGTGTGGTGGCATACTTCTGTAATGGAAGACTAAGGTAGGAGGAACCTAGCTTTAAGGCCAGTCTACATAATTTAGCTACCCAATCAGACCCTGACTCAAAACAACAACAAACAACAGAAAACCAAACTAACTCACTAATTGAATACTTCATGAAACTTTCTCATTTAAGAAATTGTTTGTAGATTTATTTTATGAGTGTTTCACCTGCATGTATGTCTTATGCACCATGTACATGCCTGGTGCCTGCAGAGGTCAGAAGGTGTCCTCTGTAAGTGAATAATTATGGATAGTTGTGAGCTACCATTTGGGTGCTGAGAACCAAACCAAACCCTGCAAGAAGTGCTGAGGCATCTCTAGCCCTTTCTCATCTCTCAAAGAACAGTAATAATTGTTTCAGTACACAGACCTGGTTTCAGATCTGATAAGCTGGTCTTTTTTCAGTTCCATTTTTGTAGTTTTCCCCTCCCCAAGTCTCTGAATTAATATTTACATTAAACGTCCATTTCTTTGTACTTGGTACTTCTCTCTTTATGAATCTACATGGTTGGGTCCACAACTCTGTCCGTCTTTATGTCATCTTGTATGTAACCTAGGGAGCGTTAGGACACAGCTTTCAGGACTCACTTGTGTTGGTGTCTGTTATAAACTCCTTACTTTTATTTTTAAATCTGGAAGAGCTGTTTCATGCAGGTCTTACAGATGGTGGACAGGGACGAAAGGAACGCTCACATTCCAAAAACTCACATGTCAGTAAGAATCTTAAAAATAAACTAAGCCATAACAATTGTTTTTTGTGTAGAGTGACTAAGACAGAAAAAAACAGTTTCTCTGGGCATGGAGGTGCATGCCTTTAATGCTAGACTTGGAGGCAGGGGCAGGTAGCTGTCTGGGAGCTTGAGGCCAACCTGTGCTACACAGTGAGTTCTAGGACAGCTAGAGCTACATAGAGCGACCTTGTCTCAAAAAATGAACATTCAAGAAAGTATTAATAATTAAGCAATGCTGTCTATATGTATTTAAAGATAACAAATGCTGATAATGTTATATCGCTTTTTGCAACAATTTTAAAATTATTTAATATATAAGCCATTGAATTATATAACTTAAGTAGATGGTATGTATATCACATGAATTATATCTCAATAAAGTTATTTAAAACTAAGTTTATTAAATCTAAACCTTATATGTCTACCTTACTGAAGAATATCGAATGTTAGTAATCATCCCTGAGTGGGAAGGACAGAGGAATATTCATAGGAAGCTGAGGGAAAATACTGCTGGATGGCATGCCATCATGTCTCTTGGTCAGGTAATGTTTGTTCAAATCTGAGTATGGGGGAAATTAAATGATTCCTTAAATTACCCCATGTCAAAATATGGCAGAGGACAAGGTGGTGGAGGACAAAGTCCAGTCTGACTTCTGGGAAGGAAGACCAAGAAGAGACAGCTGCAGACAGGGTATTTCTTTTGTGAAATGCTTTCCTTGAGTTTGCACTAGAACAGCTATGGTGTCCTATGACTTCTGTATACTTTATCTGCTTTAAACATTATACAATATCTGAAACACACTGGATTTCCTTTGGAACAAGAGCTTAAGTGGAAGTCAGATTTGTTTCTGTGTTAAAGAGTCTGGTTTCTTTTGGTTGTAGGTATAGCATCTCCAACCACATTATATGACAGGTACAGTTCCCCAACAGCCAGCACTATTAGACGGCGGCTATTTGAGAATGACAGTCCCCCTGAAGGAGGCACATCTGGGCGCATCCCCCCACAGCCCCTGGTCAATGCTGTCCCTGTGCAGAATGTATCTGGGGAGGCTGTATCTGTCACACCAGTTCCTGGACAGACCTTGGTCACCATGGCAACAGCCACTGTCACAGCCAACAATGGACAAACAGTGACCATTCCTGTACAAGGTAAGGAAGGCAGAGTTAGGGATTGAGTTCTCTGGCATTTGTTAGACAATCACCTAAGACTTGGAAAGAGTGTCAATATAAAATAGCAATGATGGAAGATGGGCAGGAAAGAAATGGAAACCTGTGAACAATCCTTTTTCTTTTCCTTTGTAATAAACTGTAGGTATTGCCAATGAGAATGGAGGGATAACATTCTTCCCAGTCCAGGTCAATGTTGGAGGCCAGGCACAAGCTGTGACGGGCTCTCTCCAGCCCCTCAGTGCTCAAGCCCTGGCTGGAAGCCTGAGTTCCCAACAGGTGACAGGAACAACCTTGCAAGTCCCTGGTCAGGTGGCCGTTCAGCAGATTTCCCCAGGTGGACAACAGCAGAAACAAGGCCAGCCTTTAACCAGCGGCAGTAGTAGAGCCCGGAAGACTAGCTCTTTATCACTTTTCTTTAGAAAGGTAACTTTTCATGTACCTTTACTGAAGCACAAGCTTGGCAGGTCTAAGTATGAAATAAGGTTTGACATATTTCTGTTTCTCTGTTAGGTTTATCACTTAGCTGGTGTCCGCCTTCGGGATCTTTGTGCAAAACTAGATATTTCAGATGAACTGAGGAAAAAAATTTGGACCTGCTTTGAATTCTCTATAATCCAGTGTCCTGAACTGATGATGGACAGACATCTGGACCAGTTGTTAATGTGTGCCATTTACGTGATGGCAAAGGTGAGTACATTCATGACTGGAAAGGCAAAAGTTCTACTGTTACTCAGAACATTTCCCCCCCACAAAACATGAGGCTTTACTATGATGAATAACCTTTAGGCTCACAGGCCAAAGGAGTAACTTCCAGCCCCAATGGCCTGCTTTGGCTATAGGATATTTTTTAAAATAAATTTATTTATTTTACATCCTGGCCACAATTTTCCCTCCCTCTTCTCCTCCAAAGTCCCTTCCCCCATCTCCCTTCTGCCTGCACTGCCCCATAATCCACCCCTCCTCCATTTCTTTTCAGAAAAGAGCAGGCCTCCCATGGATATCAATAAAACATGCCATATCAAGTTGCAGTAAGACTAAACACCTTCCCACATATTAAGGCTGGCCAAGGCAACCCAGTATGAGGAATAGGGTCCCAAAAGCCTGTAAAAGAGTCAGAGACAGACTCTGTCTCCCACTATTAGGAGTCCCATGGGAGGACCGAGCTACACAACTGTAACATATATGCAAGTGCCTATGTCAGCCCCATGCAGGCTCCCATGGTTGTCCTTTCAGTCTCTGTGAGCCCCTATGAATTCAGGTTAGTTGATTTTCTTGTGGTGTTCTTGACCCCTCTAGCTCCATAATCCTTTCCCCACTTGTATGCAGGATTCCCTGAACCCTGCCTAATGTTTGACTGTGGGTCTGCATCTGTTTCTATCAGTTGCTAGGTGGCAGCTCTCTGATGACAGTTGGGCTGGGCGCCGATCTGGTTATGGAGATGGGCAGTTCAGGCTGCAGTCTGTTTTGCTAGGAGTCTTAGTTGGGGTCATCCTTGTAGATTCCTGGGAGATTCCCTTGTGCCAGGCTTTCACCTGACCCTGAAATGCACCCCCTTTCCTGTAATCTCTTTCAGCACCCTTCCCCCTCCCCCCCCGCCACCAGCCTGATTGCTTGTGTTCTCACCCTCACCTGCCCTCGGTTCACTCATGAAGTTGCTTCTATTTCCCCTTCTTAGACCTGGGCATCCCTCCCAGGTTTACCTAGTCTCTCTGAGTCTGTGGATTGTAGCACAGTTATCCTTTATTTTACAGCTCATATCCACTAGATGAGTGAGTACATGCCATGTTTGTCTTCCCCGTCTGGGTTACCTTACTCAGGATGATTCAGAACATTTTTAATAGCTATGCATCGACACTACCATTTTCAAGTATGTGCAGTCATCACACACGTGAAATATTCCATTTTATAGATATTGGGCAGTATTTTTAGCCATCTATTAATGGACATGTGGGTTGTTTTTCTCTGAAAGTTATGAACAACACTGTGGAGAGCATTGTGGATGAGATTTTATGTAGATACCGGCTTCCATTTCCCTGAGTGAATGCCTAGTAATGATCTGTCGATCATATGGGAACTATATGTTTAAACATTGAAGAACTACCAGTCTACTTTTCAAAGTATGGTTCCATTTTATATTCCTACATGCAATGTATGAAAGCCTTAATTCCTCTAGCTACTCATCAATACTTAAAAAAGATTTATTATATGTTTGGAGGGAGGAGGAACTTTTCACTGACAAATTTGAGGGCCAAGATCAAGAACCTTTCCCACTCTAAAGTTTATAGTTTCTGGCTTATCCTGAGATTCCAGTCTAGTTTTCCTCATTTTATGTTGTTTTCTGGTTGCCACATCATTACTGAAGACACATCTCTCCTCTGAAGGAATGTTCTGTGAAATCAGCTATCATGGACACATGGGTTATGTTGAGACTGTCGGTCTTATTATGTTGATCTGCATCCGTCATACTCTGCACTCTTGATGGCTCTTGTTTATTTGTAAATTTTGAAATTGAGAGATGTGAATCCTAACTTTATTATTTTTTTCAGTGATTTTAGCTATTCTGAGTCTCTTGGAATTCCACACCAAGTTTAGAATCAATCTATCACTGTCATAAAAGAGTCCCTTGAAAACCTGCAGCTCAGCCGGGCGGTGGTGGCGCACGCCTTTAATCCCAGCACTCGGGAGGCAGAGGCAGGCGAATCTTTGTGAGTTCGAGGCCAGCCTGGTCTACAAGAGCTAGTTCCAGGACAGGCACCAAAAACAACAGAGAAACCCTGTCTCGAAAAATAAAAAAAAAAAGAAAAGAAAACCTGCAGCTCAGTTTGGGGAGTTTACTCATCTTACGTCCAGTCTTCAGTCACCATCATGGCATGTTTTCACATTTATTTAGGTCTTCCTCTTTTTAATAACAATTATTTGTGCTTTTCAGAATGTAACTCTTGCCCTTGTTAATTTTCCTGTATTTTTGATGGTATTGTAAATGCAACTGTTTCATTTTTGATGTATTCATTGCAAGTAAATGAACAGTTGATTTCTCTGTCTTAAGTGTTCAACAACCTTGTTAAGCTAGTTGACTGTTTTTGGTGCAGGGATTGAACCTAGGGCCATTAAAATGCTAGACAAGCACTCTATTGAATCCCAGTCTTGAACCTCTTGGTCTAGTGGATTTTAATCATGTTCTGTGTCAACTCTTTGTGCAGATTATGCAGTTTTAATAATTGTACTACTGCTTGTCCAAATTACTTTTCTTTCCTAATTACCATGGCTCCTCCAGTGCAATGTTAAAAGCAGAAATCTTTATATGGTTCCTGGTCCTAGGGAGAAAATAACAAGTCTTTCACTATTGGAATATGTTAAGTATATCCCCCCACCTCACCTGTATCCTCGGGTAGACTGCTTTAATCCAGTAAAGGTATTTTCCTAGCTTATTGAGTGTTGTTTCATTAAAAATGTTGAATGTTATTAAAGGTCTTTTTCTGTGTTCATTGTGAGTTTTGATACTCTAAGGATATAGTATATTACATTGGTTGGGTTTCATGGTGGATCATTTGCATTCTCTTTGCAAATCCCTTTTAATTATGGTGATAAGTTTTGCTTTCATGTTTGGTTTACTAGTTTGTTGAATTTTGTGCTTCTCACAAGCTGTTGTCTGAAATTTTATTGCATGGCTTTGTCTGGTTTTGTTCCGGGGGTAAATCTGGCCTTTTAGGAAAAGAAATGTTTCATCTTACTCTGTTAAGTTTGTATTAGCAGAGAAACCACTGGAGCTGGTCTTTTCTCTGTGGGTAATTTATTGATGAATTCAGTCACATTCTTCTCATGGGTTCATTCAGGTCACCTGTCTTTTCTAGAGTCAGTTTGGGCAGTGTCTATCTTTCTGAGACTTAGTGTCTGTCTCTCTCCCGAGTACTTTAAAGTCTATAGTAAGATCCTCTTTCATTTCTCATCAGTCAATCTAACTAAAGGTTGGTAAATTTTGATAACTTCTAAGACTATTTGATTTCATTCATTTTCTCTATTAACATACACCCTAATATTATTTTCTTCTTTAAGTCTATTCTGGCCTTTTTAAAAGTTGCATGTATCTGTTGTTGTGTGAGTGTACATGCACACAGGGTCAAAGAACAATATCCAGAGGTTGATCCTCTTCCTGTAGGTCATTAGGCTTGCATCTAGTGTCTTTTCCCATGGGCCATCTCAGAGGATCTTGGATTATTTTGTTTTTCTTAGTGCATTAGATGGTTAGGTAACTGATTATAGTATTTTTTCCATTGCCTTTAAAAAATATCTCCGTATCCTTTGTAAATATGGACACTAACTACAAAAGTAGGCATTATATTACCTGCACCTCATAACTTGACATGTATGTTTATCTCAAATTATATTTGATTTTCATATGGCTTCTATTTAACTTGTACATTCTGCAGGGCCATGTAACTTCCAGTTTTGTGAGTTTCCCAGACTTTTGTTGCTGATTTCTAGTTTCCTTTTCACTGTGTCTGAAAAAACACTTTATATATTTAAGTCCTTTTAAATGTATTGAGAGTTTCTGTTTGCTTGATGACAGGGTCTCATGTAGCCCACAGGGGGCTTGAATGTCCTTCATTCCTAAGTGCTAGAGTTACAGGTATGTACAGCCATGCCAGTTTACCCAGTGCTGAGATTGAAAATGACTTGAACAGGGCTTGTGCATGATAGGCAAGCACTGTACCAACTGAGCAGTGTCGCTAGCCTTCCACGTTTGTTTAAGAAAAGCAAGTATTAGCTGGGTGGTGGTGGCTAGCGCCTTTAATCCCAGCACTCGGGAGGCAGGCAGGCGGATCTCCAGAGCGAGTTCCAGGACAGGCACTAAAGCTACACAGAGAAACCCCATCTCAGAAAACAAACAAACAGAAACAAAACAAAACCAAAACCAAAACCAAAGAAAAAAAAAACCAAAGCAAGTATTTTATTGCCATCAAGAAAATAGTGTGTTTTCTAGGTGTCTGTTAGGTTAGGTCAAGTTGTTTAACAGACTTGTTAAAGTTTTCTCTTTGAGGTTCTGCCTAGATCTTCTATTGTTGAAAGTGTTATATTGAAATCTTTCTATTTTTAGGTTGTCTGTTTTACTTTTTTTCTGTCATGGAGTTTATTATTTGGTGCCCTATTAACAGACACACTAATGTTCATTACAGCTTCTTGATGGACTGATCTTTGTGAACTAACTCTTCAGTAGTATTTGTTCCAAAACCTGTTTTACAGTTTAATAGCTTATAGCTACCCAGCTGTCTTTGGATAACTATATAGTAAACATATCTGTTGTTTACTGTCAAACGTATTTGCATTTTTAAAGTAAAGTGTCTCCCAAAATAATTTGTTTTCCTAGTCTTACAACTTGTGTTTAATTATTTGCCTATGTTGTTACTGACTCTACTACATTTGTCTATTTTACCTGTTTTCTGGATTTTTTCTTTTTCTTTCTGTTTTTTCAAGACAGGGTTCTCTGTGTAACAGTCCTGACTGTCCTGGAATTTGCTCTGTAGACCAGGCTGGTCTTGAGCTCTTAGAGATCCACCTGCCTCTGTTTTCTGAGTGTTGGGATTAAAGGGACACCACGAGGCCTGGGTACTTGTTTTCTAGGTATCTTATATAAGTGCTTTCTGTTGTATGTCTCTGTTCCTTTATTTCTCCTTTTTTTTTCTTTTGAATTAGGTTGTTTTTTGCTATATATTTTTTCTTCTCTCTCTCTGCTATGTATTTTCTTCTCTCTCTCTCTTTCTCTCTCTCTCTCTCTCTCTCACACACACACACACACGTACTTTTAACTCCTCAGAACTTAGCTTCAAATTCATGTCAACAAGATATACATGCATTAGTGTTTTCTTTCCCCATTTACCTTTTTGTGAAAGTATTGTTTATGTATTTATATATATTCCAGTGGAAGTACTGCGCATCCACCATTACCTTTACTCAATGGTAAGATTTATAAAGGAGCAAGTAAAAGGCATGTGTGTATTTACAGCTGCTGTTATGGTGCCCTTCCTTACATTTCTGCTTATTGGTTCCTGTGGGTTTAAGTGGTGTCTGCAGTCACTTGTTTAATACCCTACCCACCTCCTTTGTACATTTTTGGTAAATGTATATTTCTGTTACAGCTACAACAAAACATCATACACATGCATTTACCCTGTCTTTCTGATATGTTAACGCTTTACAAGTGTTCCTGGCCCTTTTCATGTGTATTTGTCTCACTTGTTTCCATTGCCTCTCTACAAGGGCTGCTGTTAGCAGCAAACTGTTTACTGTTTACTCACTTCTGAAAGAACAGTTTGCAGTGGACAGGATGCTTTTCTTTTTGACCTTTGTGAATCTGCTGCTCCACTTGTGTAGCTTCTGATGAGAAGTCATCTCTTACCATATCTGACTTCCCTGTAAAGGAAAATGGTTTCCTCAATGCTTTCTATGGCTTTACATTTTTACTATGATAAACCTGGTATGGATCTCTTGATTCAGTCTGCTGTTTGACAAGCTCCCTGAATGTGTACAATAATGTTTTAAAGTAAACTTGGCTGCTGTCAGTTTTTTTTTCCCCAGTGTCTTGCTATGTAGCCCAGGCTAGCCTGAACCTCTTGATCCTCCGGCCCTTGCCTACCATGATGCTCAGCTTAAGTCTTTATTTCTTTGAACATCTTTTTTTGCTTCGCTACCTCTGTCCTCTTCTCCTGACACTCTTGTTCCATGACTGCTGATGTGATTCCTCGTGTCCAAGTTTTCTGGGGCTGTTCTCTGTTGTTCTGTTCTTCAGACAATATACTCCTTAGGCAAGTTTGTTGACTTTTTTCTTTTCCAGTTCAGATCTACCAAGTTCCACTTCCAGTCAACTTTTCAGTTTAGTTACTGTACTTTTCTATAACGGGTTGTGGTTTACATACCAGGCTCCTTACTAAACTTCAGATTTTCATGAATAGTTGCTTGTTCATTTGCTCTACAGTCTTTGAATACAGTGGCAACAGGTTCACTGAGCTGTTCATTCTGTCATGCCTGATGTGGCTCTCTTAAGTATTCTCACTGTTTGTAGGTCACAAAAGAAGACAGATCCTTCCAGAATATCATGCGTTGTTACAGGACTCAGCCACAGGCCCGGAGCCAGGTAACCATGTTTTCTCTCAGGGCTGAAAGTAAAGCTTAAGTCTGTGATGAATTAAAAAAAACAATTAGCTGTAGTTAGTTCTGTGCCTTTCTCCCCACCAGGATTTATAACTAAGAATCTAAGGGGATTGGCTGTTTTAATCTTTTACATCACTGGCATACAATTTCATGCAAGTTATTTAAAGTTCTCTTCCTGCAAAAGAAATGCTGTGAAATATTTACTTTTATGTATATGGGTGTTTTGCCTGCATGTGTATCTCTGCACCACATGGGTGCCTGGTGCCCTTAGAGGCCAGAAGAGGACATTGCATCTCCTGGAACTGGAGTTAGACTGTTGGGAGCCATCTTGTGAGGTTTTTGAGAATTGAACCTAGATCCCCTAGAAGAGCAGCTGTTCACTTAACCACTGGGCCATCTCTCCGTCCTGTGACATATTTCTTAATTCAGAGAAGTTAACTGATTTTCATGTCACCTTCAAGTCTGGCTTAGTAAAAAACACAGTAATCATCTAAGACAATGTTGAATGAAAATTAAAAACCCACTTTATCGTGAACATGGCTCATTTGTCACTGAAAACCAAGAATGTTGTTAGACTTTTGTTTCTTAAAATAACTTGACTTTACAGATGGTATTGGTACTGCTCTGTAGAGTTTTAGGCAGTACTTGGAATTTGAAGTGAGATAGGCTTTGATATAAGCTGTTAGGGAAGAGCTTCTGGGACCTAAATCACAAAGTTTTGTTATTGTTGTTGAGACAGGCTATGTAGCCCTGGCTAGCCTGGAACTCACTGTGTAGATCAGGCTGGCCTTGAACCCACAGGGATCTGCCTGCCTTAGCTTCCCAGTGCTGGTTTTAAAGAATGTACACACACACACACACACACACACACGAAACCCTAGAGAATCAGAGTATCTGTTTATTGCTCTTAACAAGTAGTGTGTGTGCCCATATAACCACATCTGGCTAGATCAAAGCTTGTTATTTTTTTCTTTTTTGAGATAGTAGCCCAAACTGGTCTTGAACTTGCAACACTCCTTGCTTAGCCTTCTGAGAGCTGGTATCACAGACATGCACAATGCCTAACTTGGTTGCTGTTCCTAACATTCCCAGAAGACAACCATTACTAAGTGTATTTTTGTGAGGATCAAGGAGCATATATTAAGGTCCTGCCAGCCGGTATAGATTCAATGAATGCTAGTTTCTGTCCCCCTCTCGCTGGCTCTTTACAGGTGTACAGAAGTGTTTTGATAAAAGGGAAAAGGAAAAGAAGAAATTCTGGCAACAGTGACAGCAGAAGCCACCAGAATTCTCCAACAGAACTAAATAAAGACAGAGGTAAAAAAGACAGATCTTTATGAACATCTAATTTTTAGGTCAAAAGACTAAGAATTATAAAATAAAAATACATATAGAAGTAGTTTATTCTCAGATAATTTGTTGGAATAAACTAACTTGGTGGTCAGTTGTCCTTTCTTCCAGTGCTTTGAGGCACTTAGAGAATAACATGTTTCAGATAGGAATTTCTAGCCTGAATTCCAGAAAGAGCTTGCCTGTTGATTAGACCTGTGCTATAGAAATGTTCTTCCTGGTTCTTGACTTAAACTTGTTAGTACAGGGCTTAGGTTCCAGAAACCTCTGTGTAACTTACTAATATAAACTACTCAGTCAACCTGTGGTACAGTTATGATAAGGGAATAAAGTTATTATTTTTGAGCTCTGCTTCTTGGTATGAAAAACAGAGCTCAAGATCCAGAGATGGTGGTCCATGCCTGTAATTTCATCTCTACTAAGGCAGGAGGACTGTGAGCTCCAGACCTGCCTGGTCTATAAAGTGAGACCTTCTCTCACTGGATGATAAATGATGATGATGATGATGATGATGATGATAATAATACAACTGGGCTGAGGACATAGCCCAGTCAGTAACTGTGCTGCACAAGGATGTAGACCAGTTTGATCCCTAGCCCCCATGTAAGAAGCCAGACATGGTAGCAAGCACTTGTAATCCTAGATCTTGGGAGGCAGAGACAAGTAGATCACTGGGGTTTGCTGGTTGATGCATCCCAGGTCCCACTGACAGACCTTGGCTCAGAAAGAAGGTAGACAGCTCCCAAGGAATGGTAGCCAATGTTGGCCTGTGGCCTTCACACACATGTACTGCATACACACGAATGACACACACCAAACTCCAAAGAATCAGAGTGCCTGCTTATTGCCGTTGATGACTAATGCACACATATAGCTGTTTCCCTCTTTTCCTAGTGAAGTGTCTTTTTTCAAACAACCCAGACTACCCTTTGTTCTCTTGGCTGCAGCCAGCAGAGATTCCAGTCCAGTTATGAGGTCAAACAGCACCTTACCAGTTCCACAGCCCAGCAGTGCCCCTCCTACACCAACTCGACTGACAGGTGCCAACAGTGACATTGAAGAGGAGGAAAGAGGAGACCTCATTCAGTTCTACAACAACGTCTATATCAAACAAATCCAAACATTTGCCATGAAGTACTCGCAGGCAAATGTAAGTGCATCAGGGATCACTGGGTGCTGCTTTTACTCTTGAGGGGGAAGAATCATTTGTTTGACCTTTTCCATCATAAACTAGACTTACAAATAATTCTTTCATTAAATAAAACTAAGGACGTCTCCAACCAACACAAGTACCTTGTCTAATCAATATAATTTCTGATGATGTTGAGCAATATGAATAAGACTGTGTAGAATTCTCTGCATCTAGCAGGAGACAGAAACTACATGAATTCAGATTGTGGAGTATTTAACAGTGATGGCCTTGCAAATTACTAAACTTTGTGCTTGCTCTCACCTCATATACTAAATGAGAAGAGTAGTAGTTAATAGTTTATCTTGTTGTTGTAAGGATTAAATGATATATAAAGATGCTTAACAGAGGGGCTGGCAGGAACTAAGCACCTGCAAGTGTTAGCTGTTAGTCTTAGTTTCTTTAGTTTCTTTGATCGTTGCTGACCCATCGCTGTTCAGCATTCAAAAGCTTCTGGCTTATTATGTCTTTCACTCAGTAAAATGGATGACTTTTAATACAACCTCGCTACAAGTTTTCTTCCTCAGAATTATTGATTTTATTTTCACAGATGGACACTCCCTCCCTCTCTCCCTATCCATTTGTGAGGGCAGGCTCCCCTCGCCGAGTACAGTTATCTCAGAATCATGCTATCTACATTTCCCCGCATAAAAACGAAGCATTGCTCTCTCCTGGAGAGAAGATTTTTTACTACTTCAACAACAGCCCATCAAAGGTAAGCCTACATAAATGGCTTTAGCTAGCTCTAAAGTGCATCGGGATGCTAGGAATAGAACTTTTGCTAAGTGTACTTCTTAGAGCAATGGCAACTACCAGGCAGCAGAAGGCAGAAAGTCACGAAGGACAAAACCCAGGGTGAACTGATTTGATTGCTGAGGACATCAGGATTAGAAATAAAATAAGGGAACTAACTCCATTTTTCTTGCCTCCTTTCTTATCTGTTTTGGACGTTGAGTTTTCTTTCACTTGTAAGATTTTATTTTTTTCTATTTCTGTTCATAATAGAAACTTTGGACCCCTAAACTGGTTACCAAGTTGTTTCTGCAACAGACAGTGTCTCTGTCTTTTGGCCCTGTTTATAGGGGAAAAAAATAGAGAGCTCAGGGTTAGACATATGTGGTAGCATCTGCCTCAGTCTGAGAGTTGGGAAACGTGAGACTTGATTGTGAAGAATTACGTAGTTCCCGAGATGTAGAAGTGCATCCAAGAAGCAGAGAAGAAAGTGATGTCCTTAAGGCAAGGGTTATCTCATTGGTAGTGATGTAGACAGGCTCAGATGAGGCCTTAAGAACCTATGACAAGCCAAATTTGGTTTGTTACAGCTCTGTTGACTGAGCCATCTCCCCAGCCCTCTTACCTATTTGATTCCCCCTCCCCTTGCCCCAACCCATTTGGCAATGTATTTAGTTAAAATTGCAAGTCCAGTTTTATAAGTAATACTGTCCCAATATAGGAAATCTCATACCACTGCAATTGCTCTTGGAATCAACTGCTATCAATCTGTTTGTAGGTTTAACTAAGGCCATTTGAAGTTAGATATAAAAACTTAATGCAATTGCTTCAAATGTGAAAACACAAACAGTTTAAAGGATGGGAATCCCGCCTAGTGGTGGTGGTGCACACCTTTAATCCCAGTACTTGGCAGGCAGAGGCCAGCCTGGTCTCCAGAGTGAGTTCCAAGATGGCAATCCAAATGTCTAGTAGTTGATGAATCAAATACGTATGTGGCCCTCAAAGATGAAGTACTAGTACATGCTCCAGTGTGGGTTAGCCTTGGAAACATGGCAGTGAGTGAGGTTAGTTATAAAAGACTACATATGATTCTACTTTGGTGAAATGCTCATAATGAGCAGATATACAGAGGCAGAAAGGAAATTAGGGAAAAAGGAAACATTTCTGCTAGAGGAAAAGATTTCTTTGGGAGCAGTAAGGTTGTATGTGGAGATACAATGCAGACATCACTTGAGTCACACACTTTAAATGGGTGAACTATATGGTATGTAAATTATATCTCAATAAGGCTGTTTTAAAGAATATGTTAAAAATATACTACTACCATGTAAAAAGAGAACTAGAGTAGTTATGTAACAGGAAACTGGACTTCAGAGCAATGAGTATATGACCAAGAGATTCATTTCCTGGGCCGGGAATATAGTACACTGCTAAAGCACTGGCCTCGCATGTATGAAGCTCTGTGCTCAATATGAGAGATGTGAGATGAGAGAAAAATACTGTCAGAGTTGAGAATTCAACATAATTGACAGGATAAATAGGTAGAGAAAATTAATAAGTATAAGAAAAGATGGGAACATAACCCAACAGTACCAATTGCATGTGGAACATTTTTACAACTGTAGACACCACACTCTAGACTATAAAACAGGTCTTAGTACAGTGACTAATCTGGTGACTTGGCCATGGTAGGTGCTTGGCCACTGAACCACATCCTCACATTCTTAGTAAATTAAAGGTTTCAGATACATTC